GGTGTGTGCTACTGTGCCCTGTTTGCTAAGAAGACTTGTGAACTTTTCTGCCTTGGGCTGACCTTAAACGGTGACCCTTCCTTTCTTAGCCTCCCAAGTAGCTAAAATTATAGGATGAGCCACCAGCACCTGGTTATTTAGTCCACACTCTGAATAAGGCTGCTTTACTTACATTAAGCCTCTCTCTCTCTCTCTCTCTCTCTCTCTCTCATATTTTTAAGTGGAGTGAACATAAATATTTACCCAGTACATTTACATATTTATAGTGTAAACATGGCCCTGAGTTCAAGCAATCCTGTAGCAAAGCGCCTGGGTAGCTGTAGGCTACAACATTCACAAAAAGAACTCCATACATCTCTATACACGTGGCAGGAAGCAATGTTGGTGTTAATGGGAGGACGTCGGGTTTTGGGCAGAGTTGACTCAGGAGCATGTGCGTAGAAATTCTAACTGATGGCAATAAGTTTCCTTGCAATTGTCTGGAGCCGTTTGCCATATTGTGGTATGAAGATGCAAAGACAAGTTGAAGTTGTGCTTTTCTGCTCAAGTTCTGGTCATAGCCCTCTGCTTCTTTCTAGAGAACTGTGCAGAAGGCTTTGTATGATTATCACATCATGTCTTAGTTGCAAAATCCCAGTCAGGGTCTCCGTGTGTGTTGCACGCAAGTCATATGGGGCCCCTCACCTAAGGTGGCAAGTAGAGATTCAAATCCAGCCCCCGCCCCCCTTTATGAAGGGGCTGCGGTGGCACTGGCCCTTTGCAAATTGAATAAAATAGTACTTACTGGTTTGATGGACTTGATCATAAAACTAGGGAGAAGTGGAAAAGACAATAGAGAGTACCCAGCTCAGTATTTTCATTTCAGGGATCTGGAAATACTGAGCCTAGTAGAGTGCTTGTTCTAGAACTCATCAACATCAGCAACAAGGTCAGCACGTACCATTTATTGAGGGATTAAGAGGCACAAAGCCTGGGTGAATTGTCTCACGTGCATGGTTTTACTGAGTTCCTGCAGAAGCCGAATCCAAAGTTAAATGCTCTTAATACTGCCGTCCTCACTGGAGCTCTGATACGTGAAGGTGGGAAGGTTAAGCAACTTGCTTAGGGTCACAGAATTATTTTAAAGTGTAATTTTTAAAGATGTGAGCCACGAAACACATGCAGAGAGAAAAGAACCCCACACTAAAGATTTTATTTAACTCACTAATGAAGGAAGGAACTAGCAAGAAATTAAAATTTACCAACAGAGTATTAGAGAATTTGGGTGTATGCATGCAATTTAGCAAGGAAATGTCGGGTAACTCTGGTAGGGGGAATAATGCCAAAATAAATGATTTCTATTTTTGATCCTGGCATTACATTACATGTATAAAGGACTTTATAGATGTGCTAAAGCTAAGGATTTTGAGATGGGAAGATTATTTTAGATTACCTGGATAGGTCCATGGAATCACAGGAATTCTTATGAGAGAGGAGAAAGGGAGAAAGAAGAGAGAGACAGAGGGAGAAACAGAGAGACAGAGATAGAGACAGAGACAGAGAAAAAGACAGAGAGACAGAGAGACAGAGAAGAGAGAGAGAGAGAGAGAGAGAGAGAGAAGAAAATATGAGTAGCCAAGGGTGGAGTGATAAGCTATGAAGGGATCATGAGCCAAGGTATGTGGGCAGCTTCTAAAACCTGGAACAGATCCTCCTAGCCCCTTCAGAGATACTCTGCTGGTACTTTGATTTCAGCCTGGGCAAAAGTAGCTTTGGATTTCTAGAACTGTAAGACAGTCAGTTAGCCCTACCTAAGAAGTGAAGTATGTATGAAGTTAATATGGAAAGATTACTGGGTTAGATAGAAAACTAGTTAATACCTTTTTAAAAAAAGCCACAAACCATAACCTTTGGGGTTAATTTTTCTACCAGAGTTAAATTATTTTCATCTCTACTGGGCCAGAAATTGAAAGTTAACTTCTGCAGAGATGAAAAATGCCTAGTCAGTAGAAAGCCTAGGACTATGTACACTGGAAAGCACCTCATTGTCTTGCTTTTGTTTTTTTTTCCCCCAAGTTTAGAATACTCTTTTGAACAGATAGGACATAGAGGAGCTAGATTTTAGCCAGGTTCTTCTAAACCTGGCTCTGTGCTGTTACCTGAAAGTGACAGGTTCTAGCTTGAAGTCTGGGTGGGAAGGGGATGCTCACTGTCTTACTCTTCCCTGTCTCCCTTAGAATCTAATGATCCTGGCAGTCTGTTCTCAAGAGCTGTTCTCAAGAGCTGTTCTCAAGAGCTGTTCAGTGTCATTACACATGGCCTCGTACACATGTGAAGCAGGTTCGTGGGCTGCGTTTGGTATGGTGGAGGGAAGAGCCGGCAGGAGAACAGGCTGGATCAGGAAGAGTGTGGAGTTCTCAGGAGAGAAGATGGTAAAGGGCCTGACTGTAGTCAGGACCTTTGATGGAAAATGGGGTGGTCCTCTACTTTGGCAGGTGGGGTGTGGCCAGAGTCTTGAATGAAGGCACAGAAATGGAGGGTTACTTATTCTGAACATGAGAAGGAGCGCTCATGTAAGTTGACAGAGGTGGTCATAGCACAGAGTCATGGGCTAGTCGGCTTTACAATAGAGATTTGTTTTAGTTCTGGAGGCTAGAAGTATGGCATCCATTAGGATTCTTTTTTTTTTTTCTTGCATACTGGGGTCTCAGCGCAGGACCTCGTGTTTGCTAGTCAAGCATTCTACCCCTTGAGTCATGTGCCATGTGGTTTTTCTTTTCTTTTCCCTTTTATTGTTTTTCACATAGTATCTCATGCTTTTTTCCCAAGCCAGTTTTGGACCTTGATCTTTTACCTCCATCTTCCTAGTAGCTGTGACTATAGGTATGTACCATCATACCCCACTTGGTTTGGGGATGGAGGTCTCACAAACGTTTGTCCTTGCTGGTCTTGAACTTGAATACTTCTGTCTGTTCTTCCTGGAGTAGCTAGAACTACAGAAGTGAGCCACTGTGCCTGACACAAGGTTCTTTCTTTTAAAAAGTTCCTTGAGTATTTTTTTCTTTAACTTGTAGAGCATTATTCTCTCCCTGTTTTCACATGATCTCCACTCTATAATTGGTTATGTCTGAATAACCTTTTCTTATAAGGACATTAGTCATATTGAATTGGGGGCTGTGCATATGACTTTATTCTATTTTAATTACCTCCATCCAGGTCCTATTTCCAAATACAATCACATTCTGAGGCATGGGTGGCAATGAGGGGTGTTTAGCCCTGGCTCATGCCTGTAATCATAACTGCTCAGGAAGCTGAGATCTGAGGATCACAGTTCAAAGCCATCCTGAGCAAGAAAGTCTAAAACTCCTATCTCCAATTAACCACCAAAAAAGAGCTATGGCTCAAGTGGTAAAGCACTAGCCTTGAGCAAAGAGCTTAGAGACAGCACCCAGCCTCCTGAGTTCAAGCCCCAGAAGTGGCACAACAAACAAACAAACAAAACCCAGGCAGTTTGGAAGGGCACAAACCAATCCATAACACACTCCACCCCCAGAGACAATTCCAGTGTGTGTGTGGGGTCGCAGTGTCAGAGACTGGGCGTGGTGGTGGTGAGAGCTGGAGATGAAGTCGCAGGACCCTCTGCTGGTGAGTACCTTGCATATCTCCCCGCCTACTTCCCCCCATCAACAGGTGGCTTTGGAAAACCGCCTTTAGATTTTGAGCTTCCAGAGTGTTCACCCGCCACAGCCTGAGGCTGTGTGAAGCTCACAGAAGAATGCCTTTCAGGATATTACCAAAAGAAATGAGCCGAGAAAAAGTGGTACACAATGGAGAGAACAACTTCAGGGCAAGTCCTGGAAAGCAAGCTTTGGCCCCATCCCCAGGGGATCCACCAACCACAGTGCCAGGAAGGTTCACCGGCCGCATCTCACTGCAACACACAGTCACTGGCAGACCAGAACGCAGCTGGTGAATCTGACCAATATAAGGAACCAAACCCAGATCAGCCCTCAGTGTGCAGTCATCCAATGTGCTTGTCGGCCCTGATTGCATTTGCCAGATACAAGTCACATCCACTCGGCCATTACTCAGTCTCCATCCTGGGATGGTACCGTGGTGATGGCAGATTTTATGACATTTCTGCTTGGCACAGAAGCAACGGGTTACCACGCCATCCTACGTAAATGTCCACTTGGGAAACAAGATTAAAAGGAAAATAATCATACGTTAGTCATTTTCATTCAGGATAACATGATTCTTGGATTCTTGCTTGGCAAAAGATAACATTGGGCTGGTCACACGTGATGGCACTTGATTTTCTGTTTTGCGGGGAGCCAATACACTTCGCCATAATTTTGCCTAATAGTTGTACTGAGTTATGTTTTTAAGAGAAAGCTAGATTTTCGTTAAACAGATGAAGTAAGCCAATTGGCTCAGACAACAACCAAAAGCAAACCTGTACCAGCCTCTGTTTCTGATGTGGTCAGATCCATTTTATCCTTGTCCTCACCGAGGCCAAGTGGGTCAGGAATGAGCGAACCGTTGGGTGGAGTGTTTTGCAAGGTTGTTAAGTGGGTATGGAGTTCTGCTTTGATAAAATCCACCCCTTTTCATTTCATGTGGGGACCATTCTCCCCCTGCCCCCCTCCCCCAGTCACCCCAGCTCTCAGCCCACATGGTCCCTGAGCTGAGCTTCTTACACACACAGCTCTGCTGTAGGTGTTGTTACCGTGATCATTTCCATTTGCCAATGAGGGAAATACGATTCAGGAAGGACAGTTTGCCATCCATGTTTCCTCTTTGGTGTCACAAGCTGATGTGAGGAGACACTAGGATGGGGACCCAGGTGGTCTTAACCCATAGTCTACACAATGGTCTTCTTGCTCTATGCCCTGACAAATGCACTATCTGTCTTGGATTTCCACCTCCTGCAGGAAACTACCCTTGGTTGATTTTCCCAATGGTACAGAGAAGTCTAGAGGAATGGACAGGTGAGTTGCCAAGGAATTAATTTTATTAATCTTGGAATTCTTCTGGCAGCTTCAGGTGGGGAGAATTTTGTTATTTTCTACACTCCTGTGGGTTCTACAAGAAAAGAAAAATAAGATGATGAGGGAAGAGAAAGATCCAACTACACTTGGCCTTTGCCAGGTGATGGGTGAGCAATTGGCAAGCTGGGAAGTTTAGAGTGATCCAAGGAGCCAAAGTCCCAGCTTGTGGAGACAGTACCCCGTTGTCCTTGGTGGCCCTGCCCAGAAAGAGCACCATGGGCCCAGGAAGAGCTGGAAGTCAGTGCATGGATCTGATCCTAGGATGATGGGAGACAGCCAGGCTTCAGCTCTCAGAGGGCATTCAATACCCTTGAGAGCCAGTTTTTTGCCAGCTTTGTTGACTTCAGCATCACTTAACCTGGACTATTATTGCCTAGCCAGGGAATGGCTGATTGTTGAATGAAGACATGAATGAAAGAAGAATGGATGGAGCAGATGCTGGCAGGCTTTCCTATCACCATGAAGGTGAAGGACACTTAAAAAAAATGGGATTTAGACACAGTCGTCAGGAACTTTCAGCTGCCATTTATTCTCCCTTGATGCTTCAAACAGTTGAATTTATTTTTAACTCAATCTTCTTTTAAAAGTAACTGCCTGCCAGGCGCTGGTGGCTCACGCCTGTAATCCTAGCTACTCAGGAGGCTGAGATCTGAGGATCGCGGTTCAAAGCCAGCCCGGGCAGGAGAGACCATGAGACTCCTATCTCCAATAAACCACAGGAAAACCGGAAGTGGCGCCGTAGCTCAAGTGGTAGAGTGCTCGCCTTGGGCTGAACAGCTGAGGGACAGCGCCCAGGCCCAGAGTTCAAGCCCCACGGCCGACCAAAAAAAAAAAAAAAAAGTAACTGCCTTTGCTTTCTCCATCTTCAGACTACTAACTCAAGTCCTTACTAGTCTAGGATAGCTTAACCTTGATTCTATTTCTTTCTCGATAGCCTCTCGATTTCTACTTCTCCTTTCAGTCAATGCTCTGAGGTCGTCTACAGTTTTGTTTCTGCTTTCTCTTTTTCTGGGCATGCCTCGACCCATTGGCAACTCCCCAGTCCCCATGACCCCCCCAAAAGCCATGCCACCAGTGTCCATTACCTTATTAATACAGTGCACTACAGTATTTTATTGTAACAAAATTATAACCCACTCAATTTTTCCTCCTTGGTTTGTGCTCTCTTTGATTCTAAGTCTACTTTTAATTCTCTGATCATTTTTCCTTTGCAGACTTCTCTCCCTGCCCCCACCCCAGCCCTTTTATTATTCTTTTCCACGCCATCCTGGACATTTCAACTTCTGTTTGTCTGGCTCCACAAGTTGTTCTCCTTCTATGAATGCTGTGCTTTGCCTCAGCAGTGGTCATGTGACCCACCTAAGCCAATCCAAATCTTCCCTGGGACTTTGGTTAGAATTGTCAGGAAGGAAGCTCTCCTTTCTTGAAGACAATTGGCTTTAGGGATCACCCTGGCTGGGAACTATGAGCTGGGTGAACAGGGGGCCTGCCTGAGAATTAAGTCAAAATATATGGGCACATAGGGTAGAAATACTGTGAGCATGTGAAGATGAAATACCCACTACAGGATGCTGAGGCTTAATTTTGAGTTGATGGCTTTTGGGAAGTGATGGATGCTGCGGTCTCTGACCTAATCAATGAGTTCATCCCCTGATGAATACAAAATACCACGGCATTACTGGAACTTGCTGGAAATTAGGAGGTGGGGCCCAGTTGGAGGAAGCAAGTCACTACAGGAATGCAACTGAGGACTCTATTTTGCTTTGGCCTCTTTCTGAATTTCCTTCTCACTGCCTTCTATGTGTCATTTGGTGAGTGGCCTCTGCCACAGGCTCTTGGCTCCTTATTGCTCTGCTGACTGTGGACTCACGATCGACAGAGCCTAAGGACCGAAATACCTAATGTTGAGACAACATAAACCTTCTCCTTGTAAGTTGTGTCCAGCAGCATTCTGTCATAGTAACGCAAAGGCAGACTAGTAATGTTACCTCTGGACTTAGCTACATGCGAGGCTTCAACTACTTCTCCATCCTAGAGTTATAGAAATGAATAAAATAAATGAAGTGGGTTTGAATCAATCCTGAAGAATGTGCCATCTAGCTAGTCTTCCTATCTTAAACCTGGTTCTTGTCAGTATGATTTCCCTGCTGTTGCCAGGGGGATCCGTGTATCATAGGGACTTGGCAGAGCCATTAGCTTGTCGAGTGGTCTCTAGAACCTACCTTGGAGAGGTAAGCTCCAAAGCCCGAGGAATCAGACTGATGCCATCCATGAGAGAAGCTGGCCTCAACGCTCAGCTACAGCAGGTGGCTCCCCGCAGCCAGCCATGGAATATAAGTATTGTACATTGGCCAAAGAGAGCACACCTGGAGAGTGTACTTGGCTTTTAGCCTCCCGGTTTGCCATCTCTTGTCTAAATTGCAGGTTCAAGCTCTTGCACACAGCTCTGGAGACCTTTGTGGTCAGACCAGATGCTTTTGAAGAGTATTTCCTGTCAGTGGATGCTCTAATTACCTTGGTACCCATGCCTTCATCTTCTACAGTTTAGCCTTTTTTTCTCACGATGGTCCATTTCGTGGAACCACAGTCCACCTCACTCTTCCACCATGATATCCTTCAGTTGTACCTGAAGAACAGATTAAAAACTGTTTCCTCCATGCACTCACAGCTTTCTGTATGCTTCTGTCCTTGTATGTGACGCATGCAGATACACTGCAGCAACCGTACCTTCTCCTCTTTACCCACTGGAAGAATTTATCACTGTCACCCAAGTCTCAAAAGACTGGAAACTAGTTGGTCAGGTGCTGGTGGCTCATGCCTGTAATCTTAGCTACTCAGGAAGTCAAAATCTGAGGATTGTGGTTTGAAGCCAGCCCAGGCAGGAACAGCTATAAGATTCTTATCTCCAATTAACCACCAAAAAGCCAGAAGTAGAGTTGTGGCTCAAGTGGTAGAATGCTAGCCATGAGCACAAAAGGTCAGGGACAGTGCTCAGACCCTTGAGTTCAAGCCCCAGAACCAGCGTGCTCACACACACACACACACACACACACACACACACACACACACACACACTTTCCCAACCTGTTTCAGAATGAAGGTCTGGAGATAGGATCAAAAAGATAAGAGGGGAAATCTGCTGAAGAATTCCTGAAAAAATGTCTTTTCTGTAAGCGTGAAGGAGTACTTTTTAATTTCTGCCTCGTGATATAGTTCTGAGAGACTGTGGGCAACTATGAGGAGGGAATCTAGGAAAATCATGTAGCGACTGAACCTGAAATGCTCAACCAACCAGGAACTTTCTCCTCCTGAGTTTTGGATATGTGAGATGTTGTAACAACCCTGGAAACATTCTAAGTGATATGGAATGTTAGGTGTGCCTTGGTTAAGTGCTTTTCTCTTCTGTTATTGTGTAAGTTCTTGGCGGTGGTGGGGGGGTGGGGGATGGGGGTGGCGAGAGACCATCTTCTCACTGGTGTATAGCACAGAGTCAGAATTCAGTAACTGTTCACTCAAGCATTTCTGTGTGCCCACCAAGAGTGACAGTAAAAAATGTGTGCAAGACAACTTGTGTGCTCCTATTGTGGAGCAAGCACCTGAGGTCTGGGGCATTGAATGAGGTCTGGGGATCCTGAATGAGTAGCCCCTCCCGGGGAATTATGGGAACGAAGGCTCTGACACTAATGCTACATCACCTCAGTGGAATTACCTGGTGCTACTTAAATTGTTTATTCAGACCTTTATTGGCTTATATAAAAGCTTACTATAAATTCTACATGTGCCCATCAGATAAATGTGTAGTGCCTTGCTTAAAGAAGGGAAAGATGGGACAGGGGTGGGGAAGGGGTTGATCTGTCCCCTCGTCCACATGGGGGACTTTTCCTGTTCTGATGGGGGCCCTTCACCTCGTGGATCAGCGAGACAGATCATAACCAGCTGCTGCCATAATCTCAAATCCATCCAGTGCGTTGGCCTTCCCTGGGTCCTGTGCTCTGCTGTTAAATTTTGGAGGTCACCACTGGTCTTTTTGGGATTCCATTTTTTTTAAATTAGAATAGTTAGAGTATTGCAACAACTTTGGCTAGGAAAATGGTGTAGCAAATCAACACGGCAAGGCGACTTTGGAGACTCCGCTTGGCATTTCCTGGTCCTTTAAGTAGGTACATTTAATTTTACGGTTTAATTTTATAGAAATCTGCTGAATTTGTCATACCAAGCATTTTGGAGAGCCTTGTAAACTAAGAGCAGGCATTAAAAAAAATACAGCCTCTGGACTCTTTTGTTCCTTCTAACCAGGGAGAAAATTACTTTAGATTGCAATATGAACTTCACAAAGGAGCCATTCCCTTTCCACACTTCCATACCCATGTTCACAAAAGTCCTACTCTCCTCACTTTGAGGTGATACTCAGGCAGTGCGATCATATCCCCACGTGACCTGCAGACTCTGGCTTTACAACCTCTTTAGTCAGGAAAGACTGCTCTCACAGGGAGGGTCTGTGTGGGGTGGGGTAGGATGGACTGAGGACCAGTGAAGATAGCTTTGGACCTAGATCATTAGTGACTACACACAAGAGGCCAGTGTGTGTGTGTGTGTGTGTGTGTGTGTGAGTGTGTGTGTGTGTGTGTGTGTGTGTTCTAAGGTTAGGTTATTTTTCCATTTTTTGCATGGCGACCCATTTGCTTCTCTTTAGTGTCAAATTGAAGTCTCTCAGCCTGGACCAACAAACTGGGCTGTATCCTGTCAAGCTCTTGGCTGAGTCCCCCTCCCCCCTCACTTACCTCTGTGACTCCCTGGAATCTGGTCTCTTCCCCACACATCCTTGGGGGCCTTCCAGATGCAGTCTTTTCTTCCCCCTAGACAACCCCAGACAGAAAGATGCCCTTGAGTCTCTTTGATTAGTAACACAACTTTGAGATGTCTCCCTTTGTGTTACAGTTCATTTGTGGCCTATTCTAGCCATTCACTCATCCACCCATCCACCCAAATTATATGCACGGGGCCTCTCTTACTTATCAGGTCTCATTGTAGGAGCTGAGGGTCTAGCTGTGAGTTGGCCAGGAATAGCCTTTCTTCTAGACTTTACATTTTAACTTAAGGAACAATAACAAATAAATATGAAACAGAAAGTCAGACAGGGAAATTGCACTGAAAAAAAATGGAGGTCCTGAGAATGAACCTCTTCCATCCCAATGCTGCAGGTGTGGGGTCTACAGCCCCGCCCAGAAGGGTTTGAACGACATTTAAAGGCCTGGCTGCAATTTTCTTTGTGGTGAATTGTAGTGTAGGTCTTCCCTCTCTCCTCTCCGCCTCACCCCTTCCCTCCCTTCTCTCCTTAACTTAGGAGCAAGTCTTCATCGCAGTTTAACCGCTTTCCTGTCATGTCCAAGTTTTCTCCTTTTATTTCCTCATATATGTTTCCTCCAACACAATTTAGTATTTCTGGTCCATGTTAGCATCTGTTTCTCAGCAAACCTAGGCTGACACAAGACTAATACAGCCTGGAAGAGTACAGGGGGTACACTGGAACCCCAAAGAGCCTGGAAATGTGGGCCAGGAATGGCCTCTTAAGGAAGGTGACATTTGTTAAGGGACTTGATCTGACTGAGAGAATGATACACACACACACACACACACACACACACACACACACACACACACACACACACACACCATGGAGGCACCTCAAGTTCAGAAGAAGAAAGAAGAGACTCAGCGACATTGGCTTTTGGGGGTAGGAGGAGCAGCAGGGCAATCTCCAGGATCCCAGGATTATTAATAATCTCCAGGATTATTAACTGTCACTAGCTCCCTCCCATTTGACTTACTCTGATCTTATCAGTGTTTCATTATGTGGTTCCATTTACAATTTTGTGTGAACAAAGGGTTCCAGGCTTGAAATAAAAAAAAAAATCTCTAGAGGAATTCTTGGATCCCCCTGTCTTAGGTCTCTGTCTTGTCACGAGCCAGAGAAGAATAAGCAGCAAGAGAAATGACCCGAGAGCCCCACTGTACCCCAGCGATACTGGATTCTGTGCGGCAGGCGTAGGTGAGGGGGATCTATCCAGTGCAGACGGTGAGCGCTTGCTCATTGGGAAGCTTGTTATTTTAAGCTCAGAAGTCCTACAGTTGGATGGCAGCCAGAGGAGACTGGCATATCCTGAGCAGGTGGAAGGGGACGAAGGAGGCCCTGGGCCCTGGGGTTCGGGTGGGGATGGGGTTCAAGGGTCGTCTTCTCTGTGAAGCACAGAGTTTAAAGGAACAGTGGAGGGTAACAGCTGTGCTCAAGGACTTTGGGTTCAAAATGTAAAATATTAATACTGCCCAGAAGGAAGGTGACAGAATTCACCTGTTACTAAGAAGGCTGGCAACTGGAATGTATAAACACGTCTGGAACTAATTTAGAGGTAAAACTTTATTTCTTCCTCCTGAGTCTTCTCCCCTCCCTTCCTCTCCCTTCCCCTCCCTTCTCTCTTTTCCTCTCCTCCTCTCCTCTTTCTCCCCACTCCTCTTCTCTTCCTTTTCCTTCTCTTCCTCTCCTCCATCTCTCCTCTCCACCTCCCATTTCCTTATCGTCTCTTTTTCTCCTTTTGTTTTCTTTTCCTTTTTTTTTAATGCTTGAACTTAAGGCATCACACTTTCCCAGTGTCTTTGCTCAAGGCCGGTACTTTACCATTTGAGCCAACCCTCCCTCCCCTTCCTGGCCTTTTGCTGGTAAATTAAAGATGAGTCTCTCAGATGTACCTGCCTAGGCTGACTTCAGACTAAACTTTTAGTTTATAAACAAGAGATTTGACCAGAGTAAGGTGTTTCAAAAAATAAACTTTGAGCTGGGTAGTATGGAGTTGCTAAGGCAGTGCTGTAAATAATAAAAACCTTTCATCATCCAGGATGGCTGCTCATTATGTCTGATGTCACACAGCAGAGACTCCTCCTGACCCTGGTATGAAGTCACATGCCACATCCCAAATAACATCTGTTATAAATCGCCAGCTATGTCTTATTTCATAAGAGGCCCTAACTGTATGGAAGATTGAAAATGAAGGATAATCTTTCTAGTTTAAAATTTGGATTTTAGAAATGGTGCAGTGGCTCAAAATGGTAGAGTACTAGCCTTGAGCAAAAGAACTCAGGGACAGTGCCCAGGCCCTGAGCTCAAGCCCTACAACTGACTAAATAAATATATAAAATAAATTAAATCTAAAAAAAATCCCTTGGATTTTTGTTTCTTGAGGATAAAGAGAGAATGGTTATTGAGAGGTAGCCAGCTGTCTGAGTAAACTAAGGAGAAATGTCCATGCCTGAAATAAGATACAGCATTCATTCATTCATTCACTCACAGGGGCACTTCATTAATTTTTTGCTCACTTCATTAATTTTGCAAATATTGAGTACCTTGATTCTGGGGGCCATGTGAATGACTGTGATGCTGTTTTCCCCACAGAGATCTCCTTTGGTGCAGAGATAAAAGTGACAGTGTGAGAGAAGTGGTGTAAACAGGTGATTCTATGAGAAACTTCGGGAGTGGCTTTGACGAGCAGAAGGTGAGTGAATGGGGCTTGGGGGGAGGGGGAGGATGAGGGCAGGGCGTCCTTGGTGGACAGCGGGCAGCTTTTGGGATCCAGTGGACGTGATGCGCGTGGAGGAGCTGTAGGGAACTGTCAGTGCATCCAGACAAAAGGGAAAGCCAGAGATGAGCCACGGGACACTTGGTGCTCTGCTAAAGACCAAGGAAAGCAAGGCTGATGCCAGTCTGGCCTGCTCGGCTCTGGGACATTTGAACTTGTCCTAGTAGGCTACCATGCTTACCCAGGTGCCTCAAGGAATGCCTGACTCTGGGTGAAGCATTCCATTCCAGAGGTTCGACATCCTAGGTGGGACATTCCGGCCTAGTCATGGCCCGTTATCGATTAGCCACCTTCCCCCTTGTGTCACGACCTGCTCCTTTGAGTCGCGGACTACTCCTGGCCTGACCCAATATAACCTTAGCCGCAGCCTCGCCTCTGTGTTTAACCTCCTTTCCTGTGGGAAGGTGGTTTGCCCCTGCTGCTGTATCTCAATAAATGGTCCTCGCCCGTTGAAGATCCAGGGTGGCCTGTTCCTTTTGCCTCCATTTTCCTAACGACTTGTACATCTTGGTGAATGGGATGTGGGCTGACGTGACAGTGTTTCAGTTAGTTTTGATCCTTGAGAAGCATCATTGTTTCTGCGTGTCCATCTGGGACCTTCATCATGGAAAGAATCCACGTTGTTAGAGTCAGCTGCTTGGTAGCCTTGAACTTGACCTACCACCAAAAGCATAATCATCTCCCCCACCTCTCAGAGGTGTGAAATAGCTTTATCTCAAACCACTAACGGCTGATTTCGTTTGCTCCTGGAATGGCAGTTGTTATACAGATCATTAAGCTGTAGGCCTACCAATACACCATCCACTCCGTGAGTGCTGGAGAGGCCTCTTGTCCATCCTTCCTGCTCATACAGATGATGGCCCGAGAGACGGTGGAAGGGAATGCTATAGAAATGTGGTATCTTCCACACAGGAATGTGGAGCTGAGCTGGGTGCGTGAGCTGACACCCAGGTGAGCAGTAGGGCTGGCTTCGCTCAGGGCCTCTCAGCCTCTGCGCGGGCAGAATTCCATATGGGTGGGGTGAGGGCAGTCTGGTGCATAGACGTTCACATTAGTGTCCGTGGCAGGACAGTAGCACCCCCGATCCTTCTACACAGTGATAGCACATAATAACATCGAAGGGCCATGGGACAGATTCCAGGCCCTGGGTTAAACATGTTTAGGAATCAATTGTACTTGGAAAGCTTGTGAATGAGGGAATTTGGGATCAGATGTGATTTGCTTAGTAATGCAGTTAGAATGTGTCCAATCTGAGGTCAACTCTGTGACCCCAGAATCCATGCTTTTGTTGTTGTTGTTGTTGTTTGGTCATGGGGCTTGAACTCTGGGCCTGGGTGCTGTCCCTCAGCTCTTCAGCTCAAGGCTAGCGCTCTACCTCTTGAACCACAGCGCCACTTGTGGTTTTCTGGTGGTTAATTGGAGATAAAAGTCTCATGGACTTTTCCTGCCTGGGCTGGCTTTGAACCATGATCCTCAGATTTCAGCCTCCTGTGTAGCTAAAATTACAGGTGTGAGCCACCAGTGCCTGGCCATACCTCCATTTCTGGCCTTTTGCTGCTTAGTTAGAGATAAAGAATCTTATGGATTTGTCTGCCTGGGCTGGCTTTGATCTGGGATCTTCATATTTCCTGAGTAGCTAGGATAACATGCATGAGATTCCAGCACCCAGCTGGTGAACAACTGCCAGGAATTCAAAAACTCAAGCATAACACAAATACAGGAGCTATTCATCCATCTATTTCCCTTAAGATTTAAGGTTTTAAGGGAAAATGAGGCAGGCTAAATTAGGGAAAATGAGGCTTGTTGAAAGCAATTCAGATACTAGGTAGCTAAAAACAGAAGCACTGGGCCTGAGAATGTGACTTAGTGGTAGAGTGCTTGTCTAGCATGCATGAAGCCCTGGGTTCAATTATTCAGTACTACATAAACAGAAAAAGCCCGGAAGTGGTGCTGTGGCTCAAGTGGCAGAGTGCTAGCCTTGAGCAAAAAGCAGCTCAAAGACTCAGGCTCTGAGTTCCAGCCCAAGACTGACAAAAAACAAAAACAGAATAACAAAACAAAAATCTCAACAACCCCCAAATAACAACAACAAAACCCCAGAAGCACCTTCTATCCTTCAAAGAAAACAACAGAATGCATTCCTCCTTGAGAGATGCATTTCTCACCCCAAGAATTAACATGTGTTTGGCAGGATGTCTGCCTTCCAGAGAGAGAAATGCCCAC